TCATAAGCACTTCATATCCTCTTTCTGTTCCCTTTGGGCAGATGAAAATGACTTCTGAAGCAGAAAAAAACCCAAGTCAATAGCACTATTATTGAAGCAGACCAGATCTATACATGGTATAAATTACTCAAGTTCCTGCAGTTTTCATTGACTTCAGCAGAGCAATGTCATTTTATATCATGGACAGCTCTGACCTCTATCTTGTTGTAGGTCAGGTCACAGGATGTGGGATCAATCCTTAGGCCCTTTGTGCTAAGCTATGCAATTCAGGAAGCGCAAGTTGTTCTGTTTCTTTGGTTTGGGGAGTGTTCTTCAGAATAGTAAGGCATAAAATGATAGCTCAGTTGTACTCTTACACATTTCAATTACTAAAATATAGCTCYAGTGCAAGACTCCTAAAAAGAGAACATTTTCATCGTGAGCTTCCTGTCCTACTCTGGAGTTTGACAGCGTATTTTTCCCCAGGCTTTAATGAGTGCAGAAAAGTTGATTGCAAGGTCAGATTTCTTTTATGGGGATTTTTAAAATCTGTTTGAATGCTTCCTGTGGAGCGCTTACGTGTCCTGAGGGACCATGCAAGAACTTAGCTTGCAGTGCTGTGCGCATTGGCACCTGCATGCACCACGTAAGGATGCCTTTGTACTGGGGTTGCAAGACAAGYCTTCCCTGAGGTCTAAAAGTCACACTGCAGTCAGAGTCTGTACTGTTATGGGTCTAGCTTTGGATGTGCCYTTTCCAGGGCCAGGTCTTTAGTGAGTGTGCGGCAATGAATCTCCTTGATGTATACACAAAATGTAATTGTAAATATGCAGTTGCTTTTCTAGCTCTTGGTGCGCCAGCTTTGAATTTAAGTGTCCAAATGTACAATAATAAAAAATACAGCTCATGTCAGCAGTAAAATGCATAGTAATTTATTAACTTTTCAAGTGTAAATACAAACGGATTTAATGATGTGACACATAATGAAAAATGATTTGCAGTCACAACYTGCCTTGCAGTTGCTGCATTTTTTAAAAATCAAACTTATTACAAAGAGTCTAAAAATCAGGTGAAACTTTTTGTTGGCCAAGAGAAAATGGTAACCCTGTGAAAAGCAGTAAGTGCTTCTACAGTTCTGAAGAAAACTCTACATACCGAAATTCTCTTCTTCAAAACCRTGTTTGCATATATTGCTTCTATGGGATATTTATAAGTAAATATTCATGGGCAAGTGTACTGTTTTGACTTAGGACAACCCACACACAATACCTAGAGTTTTGTATTATTAACACTTTCTTAAATGCAAGTCAATATATTGTGAAACCACAATGGATTCTAAAATCCATTACCATGTGCTAAAGAGATCGTTAATCTCTTTTCTAAAGCCACTCATTGCTGCTGCATTGTAGAGACAGCTAAAAATCTTCACACAGCGTAAGCATTCCAGTCCTTTGCAAGGACAAGATATTATCAACAGTTACCAGAGTAAAATAGGGTGACTATTTAGATAGAACCTCAAGTTAATCCATTACATTTTCTACGATATTTCTTGGAGATGCAAATATTAATGTGCTTTACGCCAAATTCATTATTATTACAGTTACTGTGGCTGCTCCTTAAGTTCTCTTACCTCACTAGGTAGATAGACTCCAGTTCTARGAGGATGCACGCACTGCATTAGTATTTTAGGAATCTCCTTGTTACCGCACAGGAAAGCTCTAAGTGCACAACGCACACAGCCCATTAGATCGTGGTRCCAATTAATATCCTTTCCATGCATCCAGTAATTACATCTCTCCCCTAACATTCACTAATGTCACTAGGGAAAAAAAATGGTGTCAACAAACCAAGATTTATAGGTACACGTTACAATAAATGTTTCCTGCCGGAGAGAACGCAATATTAAGTCTGCTTTGGTGGCATACAGATGTGAAAACCTGAGGCCTCCTTGCTTTCTAACTTGATAGCTAGTTTTCAGCTAGTTTTTCTAATTGCAATACCACCTTTTATCTACAGCATGACCTCAGGATTGTTTTTTATTAGTATTAAATATCGGTCAAGCTAGAAGCAGTCAAAAAATACTTTCCTTCACAAAGCCATTCACACACATGTACACAAAAAAAAGTATTTGTGTCCTAACTGAATAATAGTATGTCAAATTCCCCCCTTGACTCCAGCTTCTATTGAAATTCTTCTTAAAATCCAATTCATTGGGACCAGAAACAGGCCATAATAATGTGCTTTAGTATGGCTGTTAATGAACCATTTCAAATGAATACTGGATACTGAAGGAATTACATGCTGTGTAATTGATCTAAAGAACAGATTAGGACTGGTGCTATTTCATTAAACCTTATTAGTTGTGGCTTAAGTACTTAAAATTTCAGCTGCCCTGTGTCACATAGATTGTGCCCTTTGTCACATGGCAAGTGAAGTTTTCATCTACTAGAACACAGTTTTTATAAAGGAGAGAGCTGACAAGTGATGTAGACAGTTTGTAAAGGTTTGCAAAGGACTGATTTTCAGCCGTGCCAAGCCCTTAAATTATTTCCTGGAATGGGACAGAGTTCAGCACTTTCGGAGTGTGCAGGAAGAACTGCTTTTGTCTTTTCTTTGGGTCAGTCCTGTAGAGCTGCAGGTCATTAGCTCTTCGGATGCGAGACAATCCTGAAGAGTTTTCATACCACTGGATGGACACAATATAGACCATTATGAAATTCCAGTGCAACTCAGAGTCCTTCATCTATAAATTAATTACTTGCTTTCCATTGGAGGTAATTTTGCACTGGAACTAGTGAGAAAATATAGCTGGAGGACCGTTTTGGATCAGGATCAAATGGTTTTAATCAAGCCAAGAATAAATTCAGCTTGGAAAATCATTTCTAGCCCTCAGAGATGGGTCTTTTACCAACAGCACTCAAACTAATTTTAAAGGGATCTTGATGTGCTTACGAAAGTATTATCAGAAATGTTTGTCCATGAGAGCAGCKTGATTTTCCTTATAGCCTTCTGTTCTTCTGGCCTAGGATCTAGCATTTAACTCTGAAATCTCTTAAATCAAACAAAATTGAAAATTCTGTTCTCAGCTGAATTTCCACCACAAGGCATATTACATTATATTAAATACTTTTCAAAGTACCTGGACTGCAGCACTGTTGGAAACAAGAATGGAAATGTGAAACACTATTAAGTATGACTTTGTATTATACTAAAGGGGTAAAATACTGACAAGAGACCAACAGACTTTGGTTAAAATAGATAATACTCCAGGCTTTTAAAATTGCTACTGTTCATTTTATGAGAGAATATTTAAGAGCCCCTCACATGCAGGGCCATGATATTAATAACCATAGCCAATGCTGTGGTTCAGAYAGATAAAGACTAAAGTAAAAAGAATCCTACAGATGTACTTCCCAAACGTCAGAAAGTGTTTCAATAAGTCTTAGAAAAAGTGACAAGCACAAAAAATACCTACCCTGCTTTTAAGAGCTATTCTGATTTCTTGTATATTATTCTGTAACTCTTGGATCCATTTAAGTACCACAGAATTTACTTTCCCTCTCATGCTGCAAGTCTTATTCTTACAAGGCTTCTGCAGAGGTCAGTCACAGTACTTGAATGTTGCCAGAACTAACCCTCGGTTAGAGACAGAGTGGACACATTTGATTTCTTTGTGCTGGATATTCAAAACATGCAGTAATGAAATTCCACGGGCAACAATTCACATTCATTACGGTTCTCAAAACCTTTGTCAGTAAAAGCTTCTCACCTTCAAAGCCCCTAAACCAGAAATGCAACATTCCTTATAGGAACTAAAGTGTAAACCTGGTGTTCCTACCAATACTCAGAAATTCCTTTTTATTTGCCCAAGCTCTGAAAGGCTGCCCTATTGCTAACCAGAGATCAAGCACGGATTGACAATATGAGACTAGGGAAAACACAGTAACTTTATACTCTAATAGTTAGGCATAGAGTAGAGTCCTACTGACACATAATTACTTTCAACTTCCAGCCACCTTTATACAAAAATTGCTGTCACTTATCAGTCAGAAAGCCTACAGAAAGCATGAATCCTTTGTGGCTTTACTCCCCAGCAACTCACCAGGTATATTCCAACTTGCCCTTCCTTTGCCTTCCCACCTCCAAATATTTCAATGACAGAAACACGAGTAAACAAAAGAACACTGTTTTCATATAATCTCTCCCTTTTAAGCTACACCCAGAGAGAAGATGAAAGTCACTTACAAAATGACTTTGTACAGAAATTCTGTACAAAGCACTCGACACCCGCTCCATAGATGGTAACTATCCTTTTAAATTAGCTGATAGATTAACATAATGAGGTTAAATACAGGGAACTGTTCCCAATCTATATTTGGCTTGAAGCTTGCTATCTCTGTTTCAGACCTGTAGGAAGGCTCAAGTACAAAGGTGGTTCAAGAATTTTTACTGTATTGCTTGATTTAATAAAGATATTATCTCTTCCTGCAGGTTATGCTGCTCACTACTGATCATGTACAATCAACTGAAACACAGAGCTTTAAGTACCGATTTTTATATTTGGAATCTCACCCTTAATTATTCTCTTGTATATATTCAGGCATAACCTCATCTATTTCACATAAARAAAGATCAGACACTGGCCATGAAAAAAAATCCAGGAAAACTGGCTTTGCGTTACATCTTGCACATTCACTTTCAAGAATAAAACTGGGGCAAAATAGTGTGATACGCTCTCTGAATAACAACCAAAAGTTGACAAGAACTGATGGAGCTTGCATGTTAAAAGTAAATATTTTATTAGATATCATGCCCTGGATAAAATTAGCTGTTTCCATTTCACTTTGTTCAACATACCTTGACATAGGAATGGCAAAAGCTCTTCAAAAACCAATCACGTAGATTTGTTTTACCAAAGTGTCTGCAATTACCTGTTTTCCTTGGTCAGTAAAACAAACAAACAAAAAAAACTTTTGATTTAAATTATTAGGAAAATATTGAGCAGCAAAGTTAACAGGTACTATCTCTGTCTCCTTCATCCGAATCTTCTATAATGAAAGGCCATCTGCTATAGACCCATATCCAAAGCCTGCTGACATTGACAGTGGTCATCAACTTTGATAGCTTTTGGATAAGGCCTTCTCCTTGTTTCAGCTACCTGCTCGTACATACTTCATGAACCACGAGATACATTATTAAATTCAGGTTCACAAACATGCTCTCGCCAGATAATCTACAGTAAAACATTTAGATTTCAGAATAACAGTACATGTATATATATATGCTGTCTAATTCTCTCTTGGTCTAATTTGTCTTCTTATCACTATTTTTTTTTCTTTTTTTTTTTTTCTCCAATACTTTAAATGACTTTGCTGGTTTGTTTAGAAATTGCTCACAAAGCCTATTTGCTCACATTTGACATTCTCACAGGAAGAGTAACAAAATGGAAGCTTCAAGGTAAGTTTCTRAATTCCACAGCTGGCAACTAAACAAGTGACCTTATTTTCAAGAAGTGACGAATATTCAGCATCCCCCACTGGCTTTTGCAGCAACACTGCACCCGCACACACCACTGCAGGATGGCAGCCTTGCATTTAGGTCCTCAGGGCTTGTGTGCCAGCTGAGTCCTCTAGAAAGCATCTACTAGGACGTCTGCTGCCTCGAGTTAAATATGCAGGTGCTGTATCGTGATGCCTTTACAGCCAAGAAATGTAAAATGTGGCAAAATAATGGASCATGTGGCAATTTTACCTATTCAACATTTACCTGTTTCCTAACTAGAAGAGGTCTCTAAAATGCTGCTTTTTAGCAACATGAAGGTTGAGAACCACCTGTAAACATTTGCAGAACAGTCTCTTTCTAGAAATAGAGACTCCTAGACAACTGCCCTTGAAATTCATATTTTCCAGTGTTATTTACAGGTCTCCTTGTTTAGTACAATGAGCCAGACATGCTGAAAAGGTAAGAGTTTTTCCAGTTCCCTTGTATACGAAGTACAATAAAAAAGGCACATGATTATTCACCATAGGAGTTGTGCACCAGTCAATAACTTAAAGCTAAAAAGCTAACCATCAGAGAACTCTCTTTATGAGGCAGTATTGGGAACTCTCCTTTCAACTCATCAAAGAACCATCTGTCTATAATTCCTCCAGGAGAGCTTAACGAACCCACTTCTCTGTTGCGTTCTGACCATCCCGTGATTTCCAAATCAACAGAAAACTCGTCTGAAGCTTCCCAGGGCATCCTCAGGAGCAATGAAAAGTCAAATAGGGCATGTATGCGTCTGCTTTTCCTTCGTTTTCCCCTCTCTTTAAATGCCCAGCTATGGAGGACTGTTGAGAGTCAAGTCCTGTTCAAACTAATTTGCTTTAGGACAAATGCCTTGCGAGGTATGGCACACTGAGCGATGGACAGTAGCAGGAGAGGCAGCTTCTCAGCCCCAGCAGTCAATGCCGACCGTGTTTTATCCAGTTTCTAATCATCCATTTTTGTCCCGAGCACCTTTGTACAACTAATCTGAGCCCAAAATTTGCATCCTTTGACATTTCCACTTCTAGACAACGACCAGTGTCTCTGCTGATGATCGGACCATTCTGAAAGAAAGAAAAGGAGGATTAGAAGAAGCAATATAAAAATAGAAAGATTAGAAGAAAAAAGTACTACATATATAATTCTTTTATAAACACTAAAAAGCAATAGAAAAGTCTAGATTGAAAAATTGCTAGGAAGATGCTAAAAAAAACCCCAAAGCAGCTCTAAAACAAAGAATTAGACAATACAAAAAAAAGTATATGTTCTTAAAAGTTATAAGAGAAATCTAGTAAAATCATAAAATGCAAATTTTGGAAAAAAAACCCTCAAATTTCCTAGATTGCACTGGGAACTCCCAAGAAAGGGTCCTGGGACAATTTCCTAGGAAGAACTATATATTTCCATGGAAAGTGATGTAGTAGTCATAGAAGGTAGTRGTCATAGTCATGACTTCCTACAGATCATCAGAAAACATCCCAGATGACAAATAATCGTAATATGAATCAACAGACTCCTAGAAAGAAATCAGAAGGTCCTTGAAAACACAGAAAGAATTTAATGAAACCATGAAGTTTCACAGAGAACATAATGGAGAGTGAGACCTAGAAATTGTTGCAGAATTCCTGAAAACCATGACGTGAAGACGTTTCCGAGAAAGCATATTGCAATGTGTGTGAGGGTGTATTCCAAGAAAGCATAAGGCTGGATTCCTGCAAAGTCTATTGGATAATTCCTAGAAAGCACATCAGAAAATTGCTAGAGAAAGCTAGAACAGTCCTCTTGAAAGCCAGCAGATCATTTATCTTTTTGTTGTTGTCTTATTGCCTCTAGAACACTTTTTGTCTCTAGCTCATCTCATCCCTGTGTGGTTGCAAAGAGGGTACCTGTGTGAAATCCCAGAACCTCTGTGCTGGCCTCAGGACATCTTCACACTTCTTCAGAGTGGGTGTCCTGCCCTTTCCATCATCCACRAGGCATTTGGAGTCCGGCAGAAAGGCCGTGGAGCCCAGGGGCCCAAGCTGCAGGACGCCTTCGGAGCTGTAGCGCACCAGCTGGGAACAAGAGCACAGGGAAGGCTTTAACTGCAGCCCAAGAACCTCAGAAACAACCAGGAGCATCAACCGTGAATACAGTTGTGGTGGTGATGGTGTCCTCTGCTGCATCTCACAGAATGGTTGAGGGTTGGAAGGGACCTCTAGAGATCATCTAGTCCAACCCCTCTGCTCCAGAAGGGACACCCAGAGCATGGGGCACCTGCTCACATCCAGGTTTTGAAGATCCCCAAAGAAGGAGACTCCACAACCTCCCTGGGCAGCCTGTTCCAGGACTCTGACACCCTCCAGAGATGGTTCCTCACTGGAGATGGAACATCCTGTGTTTTAATTTATACCCATTACCCCTTGTCCTGTCACTGGCCGCACCTCAACTATGAGAGGTGCCAGTACAGCAAGCGGAGACCATCAGCACCAGCCAGAAATACAGCTGGTGATGTTCAAACATCTGAAACATAGAGCCAACCTGCAGCTCCCCTTCTGCCCACCTTCACCCCAAATACTGGCTGGAGTCCTCTGTCCATTCCAGCACACACTGGTCTGCAAAGAGGTCTGGAAACCTGCTTTGTCTCCATGGGGTGGCTTCTAGGACAAAAAAATCCCTTCTTTCACACATGTGCTCCCCACCACCCCCTACCCAGTATCTCCCAGCAAAAGGGCAATCAAGAAAATGAAGTAATCAATATGTAAATTATATCCACTCAGTGGGAATTGATTTAACAAGGACACAATGTCAATTTGCTATGCAGTTTGTTAAGAGGTCTAACAGAGCTATTGATAGCAACAACTCAAATGCATTTTTGTAAATAAATGTTACTGGAAAAAAAATGTAATTGTGCAACCAGTATCCAAAAATAAAAGAGAAAAATAAAAAAAGAACTGTGAAGGAAATAAAAGCAAATTTGCTAACATATACTTCAGGCCTACATAATGAAAAAAACACACTCAGGTACTTGATTATTGTAGGAGGCTTAACTGTTCAGAAATTCATTGATATGGGAATGCCACTGGCTGCAATTAGAAGTTTCAGACAAATTTGTGTATTATTTTGGGATTTTTTTTTTAAATGCAAAAAAAAGTAAATACTGATAGCAGTACAACACACAATCATTCACATTTTACAGGAGTTTTTTTTTTTTTTTTTTTAAATCCTGTTGTAAGTGGTGATTTCACTTGCTTCAAGCCTACGTAGCTGCAATATAGCCTAGTGAGAGAGATTACAGGAAAGAGAAAAGTGCGATGCGTGTTTGACAGCAGGGCAAACGGAGGCCTCGTCAGCCTTCCCTGACATCGCTCCTTTTTTAGGCTGCACTCAGAGTCAACTACTCATCCCCATTCTCCAGCTCACACAGCAAGTGAAATACTTGGCCAAAAATAGAACATGTCTCTCTYTTCTAACCTCTAGAGTTTTCCATAACTGTTCAGAAAAGCACTATTTATTGTATTGTGTATTACCAGAGAACAATCCTCCAATAAATCTGAGGTATCTACTCGTGTTTCTATCCAGAGTCATTCTCCAGCATAATTGAAAAATCTTGTTTCTGTTTAGAATTTAAAGAGGAAGGTAGCATCTATTAAAGTAGCTTTCATATTTAGAGTGGCAGTTGTGTGACAGCTCAATAGAGTCAGAGATGTCTCAAAACAGGAAACTAGTATCTGTACATGATGAGAAAAATGGAATAGTATGGGCTTAATTTWCCTGAATCTGTATTTGTGCCAAGAGTTCCAGGGTCATAAATATATTTTTTTATTTTATTTTTTTATCTCGATGCAAACCACCATAGTAAGTAGAAAAGTTTTAGTGCTTGCTTCTGCAAGATTATACTGGAAAATTAATAAAATTCAAGAAACTATTATGTGATTAATAATGTCTTCCTTCCAAGACTTGATCACTTTCTACAGAAAACATAAACTGCAAATAAGACACATTAAAATAATTTTCTTATTATCGTAGACTGAAAAAACAGCAAGTTGGGATAAAGAATCAATGAAATATTGGAAGTGATAGCCACTGTATTCAAAATCAAGCTTGGATATCATTACTATACCAGAAAAGAAATAATAACCTCTGTGTTTGCACTACAGCCATGAACATTATACATCACACCAAATCCACTCCTGGTGCCAGTCGGCCAAAACCCAAACACAGAGACAGTTTTATGCCTTAAATGAGGCTGGATCTTTGTTCAGCTTTTCACATTTACTTGAGAAGGGCTGGCAAAGTCACATAAATGACACTGAATGTAAGTGCTTTATGAAATACTCTAAGATCTAAGGTCTAATCCTGATACTATCTGTTGTACTTACAATAACACAGGATATTTTCCCCTTCAACAATCTGAAATCTGAGCAGAATGGGAGAGATAGCAGAGGTTATTTATCAAAGTGACTGTGGCTGATTCAAAAATAGTAWGCAGTGATACCATGGAAGGTGAATCTCCAAGAGCATTAGCCTCGTGAGTAAAAGCCAACTTTTATTTCCAGAATTTGACTTCAGAGAATCTATTTCTGCTGACTTTCAGTCAAGTAAAAGAAGCACAAAATAACAACAGGTAGCTTTTTATAAGAAACAGTCTCACAGATGGGTCCCATCCTAAATTAATCCTTAAATTTAGTAYTAAATTTAACTCCTCTCCTCTTTCTCCTGTTCTGCAACCAGAAGGGACTCTTTAATGATGTGCCAGCCCTGCAGGTTAAGATGAGCTGTGAGCTCACACAGTAATGGAAACAAAGCCAGAGAGAAGCCTGAAGAGTTTAACATCTCCAATTTATTTGTCGTCACAGAGAAACAAATGCCAAATATCCAGCGTGGCTGCACAACTTCTTTCACCTCTTTGCAAGTTAAAATGTGCCTTTTCATCGGCCCAGTTCAAAGCAATGAGACGCGATCCTGTTAAACTAGGAAGGCCAGAGCACTCTCAAGTGCAATGCTTGGTATCTACCCACAAGCAGTAGTTTAATGCAACCTTTCATCAACTTTTATTCCACCTGTTTGTGTAGCTGCRAGCTGCAAGACCATAAGTGCCAAGAGCTCCCTTTTCCTGCTTGTTGTGGATATCATGGGAGAGGCTTCCAAAGCCAACACTTTTCCTTCCGTTATTGGGGTGGGGTTGTTTTTGGGAGCTCTTCTACAATAATAGGTTGTACAGTGATGTAAAACCAAGGAGCTCTACAGGCGATTGTACAAGATGGCCCACACGCAGGGGCAAGGCACTCCAAGATGGCCAAAATATCCGTTTCTGAATATTTCTCTASACCCAGGTTGTCTTTCTCACTGCTGTCACAGCAGTATGTTTCTACCTGAGAGATTAGACTGTAACTTGAAACATATATAAAATCTGCACTATTTCTCTGTAAAGTGAGCTTTAAAATAAACCTCATTAAATTTAATCTAAAAGAGGCAGAAACTTGTTTGGATAATCCTAACCACTGGCTTACAGTGATTTAATTTGAAATCACATGCCTGTTCACCTAAGGCAAAACTGATACATGCTCAAGTGAAATGCCTTCAAGACGCTCCATAAACGAGCCTCTTGTCCCAGCTGGAATAAATGAATTTAAAAACTGATTTCAAATGAAGAGATTAAGCGATTTATGGAAGTGAAAAACTGATCCTGAGAATATGTGCAGGGAAAGACATTTTGTTTGTGGAGTAGTAACACTGCAATAGTTTAGTTATTTGCTAGCAATGCAAGATAACCTCACTCAGATGTACAACACACAGAGAAAATAGAAGGGTATGAAGTAGAAGAACATCATCCCCCAGAATGAAGAGGTGTAATTTTCTGCCTAGCTCAGCTTTCTTTAAACACATGACTGACTTCTGTTGGTTGCAGTGGAACCATGTGCATACTAAAATCCACTGGTTATTTGCTTGTCAGAATTGAAAAGTATGAAAAACGGACTGTGATAACATAACAGATGAAAATTAGTGCTTTGTTTACATGAGATAGTGTATATTCAATAGGCACGTACCACTACTCARTTCAGGGGGTATTTTGTGCCCTGTTCTTCAGATGGAAAAATGTTGGAAAGTTCAACATGACAGACAACTGCACTCACGCAGGCTGATTATAACAGCAGCTTTAAAAATGTTTATTTAATATATTAAAATGCTTGCTGTCAACACCTTTCATGCTATCTGCTTGAATATCCTTGATTAAGGTTTATGCAGCTGTGGTTCTCATACTGAATTGATTTTTTAAATTGTGGTGAGATGATAGAAGTTTTCCAGCTGTCTAATCATTAATTAACTTGGCTGCATCTGAGTGGCTCCAACTCATGCTTATCTGTGAAATACTCCAGCTAGATAAAACATCACCTCTGCCTTCTGCTTGACATTTCTTACAAAGTAAAAATTTGTTCCTTTCTTAAAAAAGGAAATACATAGTGCTGGAGAATGACTTGGTAGATTAACTTCTCACCTTTCCCATACTTTTATAGTTCTCACACACAGAGGAAATGCTTTGGATTTGAAGAATTTGGGAAGAGTGACTTTCTGTTCATTTCTATAACGTTTGATACAATAGACAGCTGCAGTATAAAGTCTATAAACAGCATTTCAGGCTATTCTTTCTCAGATTGTGATCAGAAAGATCTGCTGTACAAGTGAGTGGGAAAAGATGTAGTTGGTCACTACTCAGACCTACTTCTCTCTGCTGTCCTTCCATGTCTGCTACCAGAGCAAAAGAAAGCTAGACTTACAGTGATATATTGCAAAATTTGACTCAAATTTACCAATTTACTTTTTGGTTTCTTCTGAACAAAAGGTTCCCTATTAATTATTAACAATTCTAAGCACTGACCTGAGAGGACATTCCATGGCATGGGTAAAGGATCGCTTTGTCATCCTCTTCAGCTCCCTGATCCAGGCAGTAGCCACTAGCTTTGCTGTTACGGACCTGTAATCACATCAGAAAGAAAATAGCTGTTTTAGAAATTAATCTGTAAAATGCAAGTCCAGTCCAGGTGAAATTTAGCAGCACTACAACTACTTCCCTGGGAAGAACATTTTTATTCTATAGCTTTGTCAGACTGTTAAAACTTCCCATGAACTTCAATAGTGAATTTGCTCTACTTTCAGCAATAATTACCCAAAGAACAAAACTCACTTAAAAAAAAAAAAAAACCCTACTTTTGCTCCAAAGTACTCTTACATAAATACAGATATTGACCCAATATATTGAGAATGTGACTTCACCAAATAGGACAGGTGCTATACAGGAGTGGTGTTGGCTTTGGCGCATTTTTATTCCTTGCCATTATGTATATAAAAGCAAAAAAAAAAAAAAAAAGCCACGTTATAAATAGTGTTTTAATTGAAAATAAAACAGAAATACACAGATGTTTTGTGATGTATATTACTGTGAAAGGATACAGCAATGATAAGCAACACTGGAGGGCTTTTAAAATATTTAACAATTGGGATCAGAGAACAAACCCAATCAAAAGTTCATATCCCTCATGAGATGAAGAGAATTTACAAGTACATAAAATCAGGTTGCAACTCTTGTGAGTGCAGGTGTTTTAAACCAGAAGTTATTTARATGGATATTTTGAAACCATCAGCAGGTCAATCTTGGTTTAGATTATCCACAAATACTCTGGCCACCTCTATAATACAGAAATAGCTGCTGCACAAAGTAGCAGAAGTCAGTAAATAGTCCTAACCTTTATGTTCTAAAGTTTGAGCATAACAGGCAATCGGATGGGATATGAATGTTCACCAACAGTTAAATTTCAGGAGGTTTATTTTATGACTCAGGCACTATAAAGGCTAAAGAAGATGAAGACAACTTTATGATGTGGCTTTAAAAAATGCGAATCGAGTCACTAGGAAATATATTTTTACTACTGTTTCAATCTGTTTTACGTCTACTCGATACATTTATTTTCCTTAAGCTCGCTAAAATCCAAMCCTTTTTCCTCCAGGAAAATAACCAGAAGGGAAGATGCTTAGTAACAACCTTAATGTAATTTGAGATAAAGTCTCTAGTACTTCCATTATGGGCATATAAGACTGAAGAGGAACCAAGCCACTTTATACTAGCTAAATAGATTGTGTGGCTCCGTTTTACTATAAATTTTAATGAATTAGATGCTTCCATTCCTGAAGTTCCTGTTTGAYTCAAGAACCTTCCATTTGACCACTCAACACAGAGAACCTCCGTTATTGAGCCCAGCCTACCGACTGTCTGGTATAATTGACACAACATTGGCACTCCTGCCAATGCTCCTCTCAGTTAATGGCCTTCTCAGAGCTGACAGTTGCTAACAGCTCATGTTGAGTTTACTAAGTGTCTTTCCACGTTTACTGCCAGGGATAGTTATGTTAGGATGCAAAGTGATATCAGGCAATAACACTGGCACTTTGTATCAATACCTGCACTGCCTACCTTATTCCTACATGAGCTCAATCAAACAGAACRGGAAAGAAGAACGCCCATTTATTTGTCTTGCAGATAGACTTATGGCATTTGAATTTAATTGTAGTTCAGGCAGATGAATAAAACAGAATCTTCAAAACATCAGGCAACACGAGTGCTTTACTCCTGCTCAGAGTCCTAAGCTATAGGAGGTCAGTATTTCAGGCACATGRTACAGTTTTAGTGAAAAGAAGGACTACAGGAAGCATGTTTGACTTCCTTAGAGAATAGAGTGAAGCATACACGGGAGTGTTTATGGGTTAACAGAAGAAAAAGAAATGATCCTCAAAGCTGAGGTGAACCTAAACATCTATGCATTTCTTACACATTTAGATCCAGCATTTTTATTACGGTTAGCCAGTCACTTGACTATCTCAGAGTAGCTGCTTATTCATCACTGGTTTGTAGCTCCAAATGGAAAGACAGATTCTGAACACAAAATAAAATTGTTTCAGTTTTCTCAACTACTGTTTTACTGATGATCTTTGCAGCATCCCATTTGGGAAAAAGATATAATCAAATTTATTTTCTTAAATCTGCTCTATTTTTAAGTGCAAACCAAAGAGGTTGCATTTTTTTTCTGTAAGAGTCATTTAGTCCATTATGCTGTAATAGGAGGGACAATGCTCGTCAAAACCTTACTTTCTAGAGCCGAATAGAAGTAAGGATGAACATTTCTGTTGCTATGACTCTGCTGACTTTAAATTGCTCTGTAYGTCCTGATACCCACCCACAAAGATGAAAGGGCTGCTCTAATGCAGTCGCAATGTATTTTCAAAGACATACAGTACCTCTCCATAAGTAACTGTATTATTATAAACCCTCATTTCAGGATAGACGTTTTCCAAGTACCACTTAAAGCTCCGGCACTGCAGTCGCTGTCGTAGAGCGATCCTTTCAGAAACGTCTCCAAAGTCAACTCCAGGGTTCTAAAAAGCAGAAAAAGAATAAAGAAATCCCACAGCATTGACTTTACTGTGTTTTCTGTACTAAAACCAAATTGGAATATACCAAGCTATATTTCCCTCTCCTCTGTTTCTTTTGTAAGTAACAGCTCATCAAACAGCTGCTGCTGAGAGCAGACAATAAATATTAATGAAAGTCAGTAGAAGAAGAAGGARAGCAAACAAGCAAACAACAAGAATAAAACAAAATGAAAAGAATACAATAAGAATATTGCTAATAAACAGAAATTCTAAATGTTTGCAATCAAACATACTCCTTTGCCTAGCTTTTAGGTTCATTAGGAATTTAGGCTCTTATCTAAGATATGGTGGCATGATTGTGGTTTACTCTGGTAACATCTTTCTGTATCCAACGATGTAAATGAGATCAGAATAGAGCTTTTAAATTTCAAAGCACAGCTGTTCAAAAGGTCATTTAGCTCTGTTAAGTATTTGCATAGACCAGCATTCAGTTTTCACTGAAACTGGAGCTCATTTACAGACGAGTCATAAAATGCAGAGAAACTCAAAACCTTCTTTATAGCTCTCCTTCAGGATTTCCTTCATGTTTGAATACAAATTTCAGGGAAAACAGTCTGGCGTAGTCAACTGAACATGACAAAAACAAACTCTTTCAAAAAGGTCAGGTCCTGAGTTACTATCTGCTGATTTAAATCAGTATAAATCATCATAGCTCAACAGACAATAAGAGTTACCTCAACACTGTATGAATCAAATCAACTCAAACAGGGTAGTTTTGCATGAATCTAACTGAAGCACTTCTCCTCCGGAAAAAYTGCTGTGTGTTTTACAAATGCTGTCCAATGCAGGGTTCTGTGACAGCAGGAAATCTTAGCTCAGGGTTTAGTAGAGTCCCCAACAGACGCATAGCTTTCAGGAGAGAATACAAGCAATACTGAGCAGGTTCTTCTGCTTGCCACGCTGACGGTTCGCAGTGCTCGCTGCTGCTTGCTGATGCATACTTTGTCCCAAGCTCTCTATGCAGCATCCATTCAAATGGATGTTAATTTACGTTCTACTTCAGGCTACATGCAAAGAGAGCAATTCTCAGAGGCACTCYGTACAATAAATCATTCAGAATAAGGTTCCTTTCTCAGTAAAATCGTCAAGAAAGAGATCATAAGCAAGGACACACCAAATATTTGTTTAACTAAAAGAAGGCTCTGTTGACTTGCTGATGAAGGTTATGGGGTTATAGGAATATGCTTTTTCAGATATGTCCAAAGATCATCCATATGTCAGGATACATGTTCTGCATCTTGATCCTGATCTTCAGTAATTGCAAGGGAGGCCAATGTAGAAAAGATCAATTATGAAAGTTAATTTGGATGAGTTTTGGTAAGCCAGAACCCATGTATTTTATTTGYCTCCCTTTTTCCCTACATTATATCAAGGCAACAGAATGCCTTTTGAGCTTTGCCATTTCTACAGAACACGACACTGGCAAATGAGGCAGCTAGGAGAAATGCCTCGTTCACTGCTGTGTTAGGTGCAGGGATCCTATGAGGGTTACAGCACGATACTACACGAATGAGAGTTTAGGAGGAGGACAAGAATAGCAGAATTTTCCTTTTAACTACGCAGAAAGGCTCCTATTTCTCTACCGGAAGGTTTGATTCATGGCTTCTAACAGGAGAATATTTTTGAGTCTTCACGTTGAATGTTACAGAGGAACATGTCTGTTGAACACTCACAAGTCAACTTTCTTTTCCCGAGAGATAATGGGGTTATTTTTATGATATACAGTTTATCAATCAATTTATTTTATGGAAAGTAAATTTTAATATTCAGTACTTCTGCTTATTTTGTGTCTTTTAATGTCGATGTGCCCCCCCCTTTTTTTTTTTTTTTTTTAAGCGCAATATAGCTGTATTGCTCACTGCAGAAAACTACATCAATAAGTAATTTTGGAGACATTAAAGTAAAACATGCCTTGGTGTAGGTGCTCATTTAAATGTCCTTTCTATTCTGAGAATTCATTTGCAGAAACCATCAAGTAAACAATTTTATCCAGGTTACTTCTTCCTCATCTTCCTATTGGAAGCTAAAAATTGTTTCAAATGGATGTGGACAGGGCCAAAATGCCCATAAAAGTTTAGATGGAGACTAGCCTGTCTGCCTCCTAGCACTACTGAAATTGCACATGGAAAAGGAGTTACACACCAGTGCCTTGTTAGGCACAAAGTATTCACTACAACTAGTTCTTATTACCAAAAGAAGTGATTAGAACAAAGTAAAGAGCTAATTTTCAACATTGCACAGAACATCTGACGCTGAGGAGTAGTAAGCAAACCAGAATGTGTGGATGTTAGACACCCCGTATAGAAAAGAGAGGCATTTTGGAAAATAGAATTGGAGTGGATGAAAGGGGGTTGTGATGCGTTATCTAAGTACCAAAGCCAAAGTTGATAGAACATAGAGGAAACCCAGTGCCAATATTTTCCCAATATTCCCATGACTTTACGGACTCTAGGTAGTAACTGCAAACATCAACAAAGACACATCAGGGTTGACATTTTTCCTRCTCAAATAAGACTATTCCTGTTTCCATTTACTTCAATCAGCTTTGGACAAAAATGCCATATAAAGATTAACTAACCCTTCTTCTAACCTAAAGAACTGACTATGATTCCCCTCAGCTGCTCTCCCTATGCCCCTTCACATGAATAATTCGAATGTGACTACCACTAAAAGACACAACACCAGTTCAGCTTGCACCTGACTGGGACATCATGTGGTAGCTTTACCAAATAAAATAATAAATGAAACCAACACTTGATCTAACATTTATATTTCATTGATTCCTAGAGGCCTCCATGTGTCACGTACAATTTGTATTCACAGGATGAAACTGAATGCATCCACATYGCAGCTCCCAGCCTGGAGACAATAAAGCTAGTTAATGCGCAATTCTTTTATTGCATACTTGGTTTTTTATGCTGGTAAGGTCTACTGAGTTTCATGATGAATGATGATGTTTATTTATGGACATTTCTGTAGTCCTCACCACTGTAGCATATGAACACCTCAAAGTTTAATGGCTTCCTAAATTAACGACTTCTTTTGAGGAAGAGCATAAACCTGAAACATCATGCTCTAGTGAAATTATAAATCTGTGCCAACGCTCCTGAGCACACAACTAAACGTGCACAGAGGAAGCATTTTTATATGATGGGTCTCTCTTTATTGAAYAATCACCACCAGGAGAGCATGCTTCTCCCTAATCTTAGCTCATCTTATACAATTTTAGTAGTATCATCCACCTCAAAGAGCCAACTAGGAAGAGTTAGCTGCATGTCTCTGCCTCTGTTTAGGAGATAACACGGTCCACACTTACTGCCATCGGGATGTTCCAGGCCATGTAAACATGCGACTTGAAGTCATCCATCCAGACCTCAGCAGCCCGCAGAGCATTGCGCTTTGCATAGTAATCAATGTCGTTGTTGTAGGGTTTCTTTGTGCGTTCTATATGCGCCACGCGAGAACAGGGCAACACCTCCATGCTTCCTCCACACTGCCAAACCTGGGACATTTGGGAGAAAAAAAAAATATATATATATATTTATTATTTTCAGGTGATATGACTTTTTCCATTTCAGATGCCGTAGGTCGAGTGTTTCCAAGACTGGCTGAAGAAATGCAGGTCAAATCAGCCCCATCACCTGATTTAGCTGCTTGCAGGCTGAAGCCCTCTCCCTGGCTGCAGCAGACACATAAGCTCACAAGCCATAAGTAGCCTTTTCTTTCCCCGTAGTGTCAATGCTCTTGGAATCATTAGGCAGAAGACAAGTTACAAGATGGCCATCCATAGGGACTAATATAATTTGGCACTTGTTACAGAAGATTCAATAAAATCAAGCCAGCTGCACTTGCTAGCGCGTACATGGGTATTACTGTCAGATCTCCACTAGTGCAAATATGACTGTTTTTCAAATGAAGCTCATGATATGTGTCTACAGTACGTGAGCATCTCACACGACCTACTGCACACCACAGCCTTTTATGTAGGATTTGAACATTACCTTTGGTAAAGAGAGAAGAAACAAATTATACACATGCATAATACCAACAATAAAAGCACAGAATACTCATTTACTTTCTCATAACAGGAATTTAGAGTTAGCGAAGATGGGAGAAAAACAGCTGAACTGTATCACTCRACATTTACAGACATTGCACTACCCAAACTGTGCCATTTCTTCTTAATTATTAGCTGTCTGGACTGCATGGTGGGAAACAGGAGCTCTCCCCTTGGATCAGCAAGATGTGGAGTCATATGGGGTTAGGGAAGCTGAAAAGTTTCAGTTCCCTCAGGTCTGCACCTGGTATTATGGTCTAGTTGGAATAAATAAAGGTAAATAAAATATAAGTGATAATTCCATTGCTTTCCAAAGCTGCCTTTGCCTGCGAACGGGAGCTCATTTCCAAACAAGGTGTATCCACAGCAATACCAGTGCAGCACGCTGCATAACCTGCCTTCACCGGGACAAAGATAAATTGCTTGGGAAGTGGCAGATAAAATCCTAGTCCCTGGGTTGTGGGTTTTTTTAAATATTTTGTTAGATAATATTTATTTGTTGCCTTCCACACAGTTCTGTAGTAAATCACTGGCCACAGGAATTTGCATTTGATATACGAAATGCACTGAGAACCACACTGCTCATAAATTTGGACCGACATATGCCGAGGGTTTCCAGTGAAAAGGGAAAGTGCTATAAAAAAGAAAGGAATTAATTAATTTTCATGCTCAGAAGGGAGAATGAACAGTACACTTCAGTATACTGCTATTTGCCCAACCTGTCCTGGGAGTCAGCTATTTAATGCACAGCACATTTTTCTTTCTCTCAATATGGTTAATGACCTTGTAATTTTTATTTATATATTTCTGTACCAAGGGCAAATACATTATCTGAGCAACAGATTTATTTCCTTCAAATGCCAGTGCTTATGCAAGCCTGAAACGGAAAAGGTACTAAACTGCAACATTAAAGGCAACAGTTTAGCCCATCTATAAATTCAATACAAATAGTTATTTATCAGTGATAAACTCTGCCTAGATTAAATCCACAGGGAATTCAGACGGCTGGCTTTGAAGAAAGCAGGACAAAAGCAAAGCAGCAGCAGCCGCTGCAGGGARGGCGACGCGGATCGTGGGGGCTCACAGGGCGGATTTGCCCCATCTGCAAGTCCCCACTGCTGCATGCTGATGTCCAGACCCTTCTTCTCCACTCCCACCCTCATTTTGCTCTTCAAGATGAAGAAASCTGTTCTGGAGAAGGAAACAGCCAGGAAAAAGCTATGGAAACTGCTTCATTTGAAGATGCCCATTGACCTCAGGCCAAGACTCTTCGAGGGCTGTTCAACAGAATGGGGCCATGACACCAGCTCTCCATGCTTCCTCAGGGCACTGCTACACATGGATTGCATCCTCCTCCTCTACAGCCCAATGGATACTTCATCTTCCACAAAAATCAAATGGCTTCAGTAATGACAACCAAAGATGTACACCCAAAACTGGCCAAGAGTCCTGTAATGAAGAGCAATCACGTGAGACTTGGATGAAGACACGGGTCTTGTATCTGAATCAAGCTGAGTCCGAGGAGTGGGCTCAGCTTTCCGTGCCCCACAGAGCAGCACGTCCCCAGCCCCAAAGTCCCACCAGCATCACCGTGAGCATCCAGCAGCCTGCGTCCACCTGTGAGCATCACACAGGCAGCACCAAGGATCGGGAGACACAAGCGGCAGAGAAACGAGGTTTCTGCTTCGTGTGCATCTCAACTCAGCGCAGCTGCTGCAGGCCAGGGACTCCACGAGCATCCCGCTGTGCAGTGTTTTAAGACATGATCAAGTAATTCCAAGAGACACTCAATTTATTTGCTAATTGTGGTTAATTTCTAATTTCAGTATTGCTCTTTCAGCTGCTATAAACAAAACTCATAGCAATACAAATGYAACCAGAGCTGTGCTACCTTAGCATTTTTTTACTGCTAATTATCTCAATCAACTTTTCTATAAACAGACATATTAAGTATTAAGAACAAGTACCCACATCAGGGATAAATTACACGCTGACTGATAATGTTTGTGATTTGTGCTACAATGATTTACCGGTGCTAATTGTTAACTATTCCTGTACACCTGAGGTACGGYTGTCCTGCGATAAATGCATTTACTGTATAATATACAACAGTCAATCAGACAGCAGAGTCTATTTGTCAAAGCAAAACTGAGGCAGGATGGCACCTTGCTTACCATGATCTCTACCAGGCATCACTGGAGTTCTCTGAATTTGAAGACAGGGTTCATGACTTAAGAGCTAATAAATCTCTATGCTTTAATCATAGTAAAAAAAAAAAAAAAAAAAAAAAGCCCTTTTCAGGAAGTACATTTTTTCCATAATTACTTGCTGTTGAATGATTTCAATCTTTCTTTGAAGCAATGATTACAAGGAAGAATTCAGAAGACCTATTAATTTGAGGAATTTCTTAGAACAACTTGGGTTTGCTGCATCTCTCCTATTGACTGTTTCCATACTTTGATGAAAACTGATATTTCAAAGTGACCTATACCCACTACTTGCCTTTCCTAATGGAGTTTAATGGATATTTTAATATTCTTTCTCCCTTTCACAGTTGACCGCAGAGTCACCTATTTCAGCAGCTTTGCTAGATAAAGTGCTCCTCTCTCTCCCCGTTCTTTTAGTTCACATAGGAAGCTGCTTGAAACTAAGGAGCTGCAATAATCAACACATCAAACGGACAAATGAATGTGTATGTCTTTCGCACTGGTATTTTTTCCTTACTATTTTTATTATTACTTCAGTTGTCCAAATGCTGAATAAGTGGAAGCTGGCTGCTTTTTCAAAAAGTCTCCTGAGAGGTTGTGAGGACACGCTGCTAGTTACTCTTGCAGTCACCTACTGTGAGCTTCGTGGTGGATTCAAAAATGAAGCTTTTCTATGCAAGAATGTCAAAATTTCTTTTCATAGTTCCTTGACTAGCCTTTAAAACTTGTTAGAATTGATTGAGATTGGACCTCTTAGCTGTGTTCCCTTGGGCTTTCCTGATATTTACAGATGATTTGCTTTCTGAGGGAAAAGGAACTGCTATGTTCTTGCAGTGAGGCACTCAAGTGATGCACTTTTTTTCCCCCTGAAACTTCTACAGTGGCTCTTCAGCAGCAAATTTAAAGGCTGTCCTTCACATATTCCTTAAGGATTACAGAGAACCTCAAACCAGCAGAGATCTCAGATTTGACAACAGCAAGAAGAGACAACCCTTCTGTTAACCTTCTTACTGAAGAAAATAGATAAGAGTGAAGAAATTGAAACCTGTCCRAGAGAATCCTGCACTCAGCAATTGCTGTCTTATTGAAGCGATAAACCTTACGAGTAAAGAAATAAATCAGATAAATTAACAGACTGGCTGTTATGGGAGGGAAAAGATAAGATTTAAAGGTTTAAAGATATTAAAAACGCCCCGTATAATTAAAACTGTAAATGCAGTCTCATTAATCCATATTTTGYGCAATTTTACAAAGGGTATTATTCTTCTGACACAAGAATGTCTAGGGAAGAAAGCAAGGCAGAATTCCCATCTTTCCCGCAGCTGTGCAAAAACTGCAGCTCCTCTCCCACTTGTCCTGGACTCCCAATGCTGATAGCTCCAACCACAGCCACRTTTGCCCAAGGGACACAGGTCTCTCCTCTGTGCAGGGCTCCAGCCTTGGCCAGCACTTGTCTAGGTGCCCTCCATCTCGATATCTAGCTACCCTCCATATTTAGCTCCATTTTTAGGTAGTCTCAATTTCCATAATGCAACTGCTTGGAAACGACAGTAGGGTGCGAGAGAGAGGAGAGATGGGAACAGTCTGTCCAAGGGCAAATTTTTAATTTTCAAAGACTTGTYTTTCTTAGCAAATGAATGAACGTTGGCAGCCTCCAAATGCTCCAGGAGGAGTTAACAGCTCCCATCATGTAAATGACAGGCACAGAAAGGAGATCGCTTTGAGACATGCCCTGAAACTTCATAGACTACAGTTAATAACTCTGCTTCCTCCCAGTTTTCAAGTCTTAAAGAGGCTGCAGATGTCTCTTGCTGGTGTAGTATCATATATGCTGGTTTTTGCAAACCCTAAACATTTTCCCTCRCATAATGTAAATGCAATCTGGTATCTCTAATTTAGTTAGGTAATTGTCCTCACCAGATGCTACTGGCAACATATGCTTTAAGAACACATTTGATGAGAATAATTTTGTCTTTTCACAAATTTACTCAACTTTTTCTCAAATCAACAGAACCACTGTCAGTCATTTCTGCACATCTGTCACTGCAGACACTGTTTGTACTGTAACTGTTAAAATTCAACAAACAGACCTTGGAAAAATACAATCCACATGGAACACATGAAATAGCATTAAAGATCAGTAAGCCATTCTTGTTCTTCATGCTAATTCATGTGATTGCTTTAGGTTGTTTTTCTTCTCAGTTATTCCAAAATACCTCACAGAAAAATYTCCCTCTA